CACCCTCCCTGACCCTCACTGACCCTTCTTCACCCTCCCTGACCCTCCCTGACTCTTCCTGAACCTCCCTCACCCTCCCTGACCCTTCCTGAACCTCCCTCACCCTCCCTGACCCTCACTGACCCTTCTTCACCCTCCCTGACCCTCCCTGACTCTTCCTGAACCTCCCTCACCCTCCCTGACCCTTCCTGAACCTCCCTCACCCTCCCTGACCCTCACTGACCCTTCTTCACCCTCCCTGACCCTCGCTCACCCTCCCTCGCCCTCCCTGACTCTCCCTGCCCTCAGCGACCTGCCTTTGCTGATGTCTGCCTTCTGTACATTTGCAGAAAGTCCCTAAGAGTTGAACAGGAAACTTGAAAATGGAAGTTTCGTTTCGGAGACAGGAACTAATACCTTGGTTTGTTTCCTTGTCAGTGAAACCTGACCCTTTCTTTGCTTCAAATTGGCAATGTTTTCGCACCCAGCGACTTCCACATCCGCGTCCCGGAGCATTCGGAAGAACGTGTCCCACAGACTGACCCTCGGAGCTCAGGAACAGGAGGAGGCCATTTAACGTCTCAAGCCTCTTCGACATTCACCGCATCCCCTGTGGGTTAACTCCTCCGATTCACTTTTTCACCCCTATCCCTCGAGATACCAACATTCTATAAAATCTAGAGGGATCGCAAATTAAAGATTGATTCAGAATTGGGTGACTTTTCCCAACTAGTCCCAAGAAATTGCTTTACTCAACCCATGCCTGTTCCCCTCATTACTCACCTAAACTCCCTACCTTCACCTTTCTCCATGGAAGAACCCATATGCCACTTATTCAAAGTCCACAATCCCAGAATTTAAAATAAATAACGTCGGAATATATAAAGCATGCTACAGATTGGAAACAGGGGCATTTGGCCCATCTAATCCATACTCCCACTCAAATCCCACCCCGCAACCCCATCTTTCCTCATTCAACTTCTACATTGTAAAGTCCTCCGTCCCCTTCTTTCATACATCTTCCCATTCACTACATCCGCACTGTTAACGTTCGGAATCACCTCTAAAGAGTGTGCCTCCATGTTTACTTTGATTCCACAATCCTCGGAAGTATATTTCCCATGCCCCCCCACCTCTCCAATCCACCCTGTTTGTTCCAATTTGTAGTCTGGAGGCGTCAATCAGTTCAACTTCCTAATTGTCAGGGAATGCGTCTCTCCTCTGTGTAGAATAATCCATGTGATATCTGTCTCCATTATTGGCGAATCCAATAAGCCATCTCCTGCTGTCTCTCTCTCTCACTCCGTTTCTCTTTATCTTCAGCCCTCATCTGCAAGCAACTTATGGGCAACATGAAGCAGATCGATGCTAGCAATGGACAGGTGTATGCAGTGGATTTTAGAGGAAATGTATTCACCAGGAGGGGCAATTTCTGGGCCACAATTCCAGGAAACCTCCAGCATGTCACTGTGGGTGCGTCAGGAGTCTGGGGAGTCGGCAAGAATGGAATACTTTACCGTCTGGTCGATGGGTTCTGGGCCATTCTGGCAGGTCAGCCATCATCTGTCTGTCCTGT